AAAAAATTATCAACCCTTCCCGATCACAGAGAAAAAAATTGATCGGATTGATTTCGGTAGAGGGGAGACATCGAATTTTATTATTGTAATGATATTTATCGAATATCCTGTGTATTAACATTTCTTAGTGATGAGCAATTGTGCTCGTCCTCAAAAAACCACTGGATCATGACGTTTCGAGAACTTGGTAATTGCCTAATACCTCCTTTCCGACTACGCTACTCGATGAACGTTACTTCTTGATATAATTCGAATAGAATGCTCGTAAAATTGATAAAAAAGACGAAGAAAAACATATCTCTATAGAAACAACCATAAAAATGTTTTTGAACCTACTGAATGTTGTTACAGTTAGATGCTTTTGACATCGCTCGCCCAAATGGTGAAAAGTGCAGGTCCTTATGAGGCATTGCATGATAGGGACGAGCAATCCTCCTCAAATGATGTCACCGATTTCAACAAAACTTAATCTGTATGTGCCCCACACAAGCCGTGAAAGCATCAAAAATTTTATGTTCTAAAACAGTTCCATGTTGAGATAATGAAACCACAATAGAGGCACCCTCAAGTAAAAAATGGCGATAACCAACGCATTACCAATTCATTATATAATTATTTCGCTACTTTTTCAACAACAATGTTGTTAGTCATGAAATTTTGTGAATATATACTAAAGCAGGTACTCTACATACTGACACAGTCAAACTTTTTTTAATGACTCATCCAGTATGGGAAAAATACATATTTTAGGCTGATTTTGTGTTTCATGGCTCGTGACTGAAACGAGATAGAGGACTGAAATTTTTAATGAAGCTAGAGTTTAAAAAGATGTATTGTAATTTGAAACTACAGTGCTGCAAGCCCTTCGTTTCGATCAGTAAGACCCTCTCAAAAATCGGTTTTTGACGGGAATTCCTATATTGTGCCAAGATCGGGTGTAGGGTATGGGTGTAGGTGGCGGCGTGGGACATGAAGAAGATTCACAGTCATAGTCATAGGCAAAGTCGCATCCACACACACACCCTCAATATGAACTCGACGATAAAGATCTACCATCATCCTATGACATAATTAATCAGCATGCAATGCTTACTCAACCATTACAACAACAAATATAATAGGGAACAATTAAACAACAGATACATTTCTTTGTTATTGTAGATACTTGTATGTCATGTATAATATGTATCAAAATAAATAAAATAAACCTATGGAAATTAAAAGATAAAACAGAAAGTGTAATTAAAAAGATTTAAAATATTAGTTTGACGGAGCTTGTAAACGATTCATTCTATACAAAAATAGAAAATATGATTTTAAATAGTCTCACCAGGTATTTTTATTCTTTAATCATTCTAACCAAATCGTTTCTGAATGTGATTGTGTCGATCGTTGTTCTACAAACTCTCTATAAAAATAATCATTAATTTCTACTTTGACTAATATCAAATTCATCCAGTACTTGGTCTTTCTTTTTCAAAATAGGTTCCTATGTTTCATAGATATTGTTGCACAGTTTACTCAATACAATTTCTGAACTACAAGACATTGTTAAATATTCCTACATTTGACAGTGTTGAACAAAGAAAATCTGTACATATTGTGTTTCAGTCAGTATCAGGGAGATTACGAAGTTATCAATCGTTGCAATTTGTTTGTTTTTTACGTGATCGTTGCTTCCGCTTTTCTTATGTCGGGCGCTTTCTAACCAATAGAAAAACTTCATTTAACCGAATGACCGCTGTATTGTTTTTCTGTACATTAATCCAGATATATATATATACATAGATAGACATAAAGCTATCCATTCTCATTCATTCATCACCAGCTTCTCAGACAAAATACAATGACTGCTATTTCACTTTCAAACGATCTTCATACTGTTCAAGAAACGAAAATTTTAGTACCAATAAAGACAGATGATACACAAAGAGAAAACAATTCCAATCGATCTGAATTTATTCGAGTATGTATATATAATTAGAGAAATGCTTTCGCAACCTAATCTTCACGATGAATATCTATTTTCAGTTTTGTCAAGTAGTATGTCATTTAAGGCCCCCCCCCCCCCCCCCCTCAAAAATCGATCTCAGCCCAGGTACGTTCAAATGGGCTGAAGTTTGGAGCATATGTTGGGGCTGATGTGTGGAGGCTGTGGTAAAATTTTCAGCTCGATACCCTGATGTTTGACAGAGATATGAACCAAGCAAGGGTCAAAAATAGCTCATTTGGCAATCCATTTTTCTCTGTCAAAGCTCATTCAATATATTTAAATTTTTTTTTTGTTTGAAAGAGCATCTCAAGATGCAGTGCAGTACAGAATCCTTTTTTTAAAATCATTATCTTTTAAGCGGAGAAAAGGGCTGACAAGTTCAATGACTCAAAAAACGCGCCAAAAATGGTGGTCTGTTTATATAAGTGTTTGTATATATAATAAAAAACAAGCTTAATTTAAAAAAAGGACTCTGTACTGCACTACATCTTGACGTGCTCTTTCAAACAAAAAAAATATATAAATATATTGAATGAGCCTGGACAGAGAAAAATGGATTGCGCGGTCCAGAAAGCCTAAACTGAGAAAAAACGAAAAACATTTTTTGAAAAAATTTTTTACCATATTTTAACATTTTTAGATACTTCTTTGGTAGATTTGACTAGAATTACTACTAACTGTCATATATCTTTTATAACTATGCACAAATAACCTTCTTTTGGCGCTTATTAAGCTTCACTAGATGAATAATTTTATTATTCAGGGCATAAACATAATGGGCTTACTGGAAAATATTCTAATGAAATTAACTGCGAGTTATCTCAGCCCTCTTTATTGCATCTTAGCCATGTATGTTCTCTCTCGTATTATCTAATGAGTTCTTCTTGTTGGGTAGTGGCGCTATCTTTCGTCCACTACCTCACTTTTCTTCTCTTTCTTCTATATTCTATTGATTGGTCATCTGGATGATCCATAAGGATATATATGTGGACCGATAGTTATTTTTTTGTTGTTGTTGTTGTTGTTTTGTTTTTTTAGTACGGAAAGAATAAACCAGGAAAACGTGTTAGTTCACAGACTAACACTTCTCTCTTTACTATCTTCTGGTGTATTCTTTCTCTTTCAGCACTCTTATATATATTCACGTTGATTTTAAGAATAAAATAGTTCAGTATATTGTATACGCGATAAGATAAACTCCCCTACACATTAGAAGACCCCCCACCCCTATAGTAGAGATGACCCTCTCTTGAATCAACAACCCAAAGGATAGATTAGAGGACCTGCTCACCTGCTTCTAAGGGGATCGTCAGAGGAGATGGGTGGGTCTTCTCATCTATCCTTCACTTCGTTGATTCAAGGGAGGGTCATCTCTGCCACAGGGGTGGGGGGTCTTCTAATGTGTCGGGGGGTTTAATACTTCTCTCTGACTAAAAATTAGTTAGTGGTCAACTACCTTTATAACATATACAGAGAGGCGTGCCAGTTTGTTGCTCACTCTATGTATATGTGTAGTTTTGTTAGTGTGTTTTAAAAAAGAAAAGAATATATCTATACTTTAGTTTAATATTTTATTTGTTTAGATTATACATTTATCTTTGTATTACGGTTTTATATTAAAACGTGTTGGTCTCAAACATTATGGCTAACAAGAGAAAAACAAAACGGTAAGTGTCTCCAATGAAACTTCTTTTTCTTATACTATTAGTCAATGGAATTATTCTAGCCCTAAAACGAGTGAATGTTTTTCTGGTTTATGTAAGAAGGGAGATAAAAAATCTAATTTGAAATTCCTTTTCCTTATAATAAAAAAGACTTAATACTAGACTTAGCACACGTGCCGTGACAAGACGTGTTCGTCAAAATATACGATCAATACCAGCATCAACATTAGAAATAACAACATCAAATCCATCCACATCTTCAAAACGTTCATCTTTACCATCACAACAGAAGATTACGAAAAGAACGAAATTGGATATAACATCAACATCAGCAAATTCAAATTCAAATTTGCCTATGGATGGATACACGATCTTGCAAAATCAATTATTATTTACTCTTATGTGCAAGACGAATTGTGAAAGTTGCGGAAATCGTTGGAATGGAACAATTAACATCAAGAAACGCGAAGGCTTATTTGTGATCTTATCTTTTCAATGTTCATCATGTACAAATACCATCACTATTGGTAAGTAACTACTTCCAACTATCAAAGCTTTGAATATTATTAATGCGTGCAATATTTCTATCTAATTTTTTCAGAAACAAGTCCGAAGGTTGTTGCATCAGATCGTCGAGATATTAATGTTCGATCACAAATTGGTGGCCATTTGTGTGGTATTAGATATGCTGGATTAGCTAAATTAATGGGTGCTATGAATTTACCAAGTCCAATCCAAGATGAAAGATATTCCAAATGGGATAAAAATTTATTACTTTCAATAAAATCATTTTCAGATCGATCAATGAAAAAAGCTGTTGGAGAAGCTGTAACTGCTGCAAATGGTAAAGAATTAATGGTTAGTGGAGATGGGTTTTGGCAGACTCGAGGTTTTCAAAGTAGACATGGTGCAGCAGCTCTTCTTTCTTGTAACACAGCACCAAAAGTACTTGATATTGAAACATGCAGTAAAACATGTAATGTTTGCTTTGGTGAGTTTCTTTTTTTTTTCTCTTGATCACATCTTTTTTTTTAAAGGTGCACTTGCTATCAAGAACTCTAATCCAGCTAAATACAATGATATTATTAGATCACATCACTGTGAAAAAAACTACAACAACAGTTCTGGTACAATAGAAGCTCATGCTGTTCTTAACATGTTCCAACGATCAGTTTCCAAATATCAAATTTATTACACAAAGTATGTTGGTGATGGTGATTCAAAAACATTTGCTGCTCTTTCTGACAAACCACCATATCCAGGTATAATATAATTTATTTTATTTCAAAAAATTATTGCGTTTGAAGCACCATCAATAGTTTTGTCTTTTCAGGAAAAGTGATCAAGAAAATCGAAGACTTGAATCATTTTAGCAAAAGAATGAAACATCAACTGGAAACAAAAAAACGTCAATATGGAAAAGAACAATTATCTGATGGTTAAACTATTGGTGGTAAAAATCGTCTTTCCGGTAAGTCTTTTTAAGACATGAAAAAATTTTGAAAATGAAACAAATGGTAAATCTGAATGCTTTTTTGTTTTAGAACAAAATATCATCCGGTTACAAATGGCATTTGCTTCTACCATTCGAAAATGCAAACACGATCTGGATTTGTTATTCAAGCGATCGTGGGCTATATTTTGGCATAAATATTCGACCAATGATGATCCTCGTCATGATTATTGCAGCATCGATTGGTGTGGTTATTTAAAAGCTGCTCGTGATGGAACATCATATGATCATACACCACATGCTTTACCTCGTCCTGTCCTTGATGCCATCAAGCCTGTTTTTGACAACCTCTGTTCTCGGGAAAGTCTTGCACGTGTTGTTAATGCATCAAGTCAGAATCCGAATGAAGGTTTTCATTCGCTTGTTTGGCTTATGTCACGAAAACACAAGACATCATCCGGTACAATATTTGAAATTGCATGTCATCTTGCAATAATAATATTTAATGATGGATATTTTACATTAGGTAAGCCGATACAAATAATTTCAGAAGTTTTTTTAATTATAATTGAAATGTTTGACATTTATAAAATAATTTTTTTTACTTTTGCACAGGAGATCTTTTCAACAACATCTGTGGTTATCGTGGTCACTACACCGACCAAGCAATGATTCACTTCGACAACACTCGTCTTCATACAGAATCAAAAGAAAATAATAGAAAAAGAAGAAAAGAAGCTGGTCGTGATGTACAAAAAAATGTTGATAATGATCAAACAAATAGTAATAATGCATCTGGTGATGATGATTATACAACAATAGATAGTGATGAAGAAGCAGATGATGATTATAATGAAACAAATCCCGGTGATCAAGCAACATTTGAAGATAATGATACAACAACAGAAGGTAATGAATGTTCCACTGATGATCATGATTCAACATCCAGTAGTGATAATTCATCAACTGATAATGATGATAAAACAATTCTTAGTCCTGATACAGCAACAAAAGAAGATGTTGAAAAGAATGATGAAACTAGTGATGACGAATATGGTTATTATAATCCAAAAGACAGAAGAAGATGGAAAGAAGAAGAATAAATAACAGTTTATTAAACAATTTTTTTATGTGAACCTTGTCAGATCCAAGTTTTTTTTTAAATAAAGCTTTTTTCTTTTCTATCAGTCAGTCTGTTTCTCATTTTTTGTTTTATGAATTTTGATTTTTCTATAACGATTAATAAAACTTGTTAAAACGTCTTTGGTTTTCATTAATTAAAGTACTTATTTTCCATGCAAAAAACTCAAAATCCATTTTTTCCAAAAAAATCATATTTTTCATGCAAAAAGCTCAAAATTCATTTTTTCCAAAAAAATCATATTTTTCATGCATCCGGTTATAGAAACGATCATAATTTTCGGACAAAAAAGGCGTGTTGGAAAAAAAAACATATCACATCTGAAAGATCGGAAGGCGGGCTATCTTCCTATGCGGTTATCTCAATTTCGAAAAATTTGACGAAAATTGGTTTTTTTTTAGGGGGGGGGGGTGGCCTTAATCGTTTCTTCGCTTTATGAAGACCACTGAAATTTCAACATTAATTAATTTAAAAAAAAAATGAAAATTTTCAAACCGTTCAAATGCGAAGTCTAATAAATTTAGACAATTAATTGAACGTAAATCTGAACCAATGTCTAAATTCTCAAGTGATGTTTGAATAAGTGAAGACTAAAATAAAAATTGTGCATTACGAGAATCGCTATAGCTAACTGATAAAGTACATAAGTTTTATTATTTCCATGATGATGAGTATTATTCGATAATGTTGAAATCGATAATAGTGAAGACATTGAATCAGTAAAATAAGATTTTGAACTATGACTACTAGTATTTGTATTTTCATTAATAACACGAAATATATGTTGACGTATTTGACCTTCAATCGAACAAAGTATTCCGAATTTTTCAGTTTCTTTAATAAGAAA